AAAAAAAAAAAAAATTAGACCAGGTGAGGTGGCTCAAGCCTGTAATCCCAGCACTTTGGGAGGCCGAGGCGAGAGGATTGCCTGAGCCCAGGGGTTCATAACCAGCCTGGGCAACTTGGTGAGACCTCATCTCTACATTATATTTAAAAGTTAGCCAGGCGTGGTAGTGTGTGCCTGTAGTTCTGGCTACTTAGAAGGCTAAGGTGGAAGGACTGCCTCAGTCCAGCAGGTCAATGCTGGGGTGGCTGTGGGCATGCCACTGCACTCCAGTCTGGGTGACAGAGTGAGACTCTGACTCAAAAAAAAAAAAAAAATTGATCAGGCCGGGCGCAGTGGCTCATGCCTGTAATCCCAGCACTTTGGAAGGCAGAGGCAAGAGGATCACCTGAGTCCAGGGGTTCGAGACCAACCTGGGCAACTTGGTGAAACCTCATCTCTACAATAATTCAAAAAATTAGCCAAGTATGGTGGCGCACACCTGTAGTTCCAGCTACTTGGAAGGCTGAGGCAGAAGGATCGCCTGACCCCAGCAGGTCGAGGCTGTGGTGGCTGTGAGCGTGCCACTGTAGTCCAGCCTGGGCAACAGAGTGAGACTTCAACTCAAAAAAAAAAAATCATTGATCAGAAGAAAATAGTTCATAAATTATAAAAAGATACTCAATCTCACTGATGTTCAACGAAATGAAGACAATAATATCTTATGTTTCTTCTAAATGATATGTAGCACTTTATATGTCTCTATATGACAAGGGTGTGTGGTATATTCAGTCTACGTGTTAGGAGTTTAATTTGCTATCTCCATTGTAGAGAGCATCTACCAGTCGATTTATTTTTATTTACTTTATTTTATTTACATATATCAGTCCATTTAAAAATATGCCTTCCAGCCTAACTCCATGATTCATACCTATAAATCCTAGCATTTTGGTAAGCTGAGGTGAGAGGATTGCTTGAGCTCAGGAATTTGAGATCAGCCTGGGCAACATATCTCTACAAAAAAAAATTTTTTAATTAGCCTGGCATGGTGATATGCACCTGTAGTCCCTGCTACTCAGGAGGCTAAGGAGGAAGGATCACTGAACACAGGAGGTTGAGGCTGTGGTGAGCCATGATGGTGCCACTGCCCTCCAGCCTGGGCAACAGAGTGAGACCCCAACTAAAAAAAAAAAACAACCTTCTCTTTGATCCAGTTAGAAATATTATGATACAGAAATATTCTCACAACTGTTCAAAATGCAAAAATGTCAACATTATTTGTAATTGCAAGAAAATCAGAAACTTAACTGGATGAGCTGGGTAAGTTACTCCACACAAGACAATGCCACTCAGCCCTGGAGTGAGATGGCCTTTGCATGCTGATTTGGAGAGTGACCCTGACCTGCCTTTACCTGTCCCAGCCCCAGGATCCCCTGATGCTTTGTGTGTATGGGTGGGGGGACCACAGAATAACCTGCACTCTCCCTTCTCACATTTCTCTTTCAACTCTGTCCCCGGGGGTGACTGAGGCGTGGTTGAGAAGACATCCAGCCTTCACTCAGGATACCTAAGAAGCTCAGCTCCACACTCCCACACAGCTGCTGAGGCAGAGGGGGACGCTGTGTGACTTTTCAAGGCCCCTTGTGCTGTGTGCCGTGGCGGGCTTGGCATGGTTGGAGTCCTGGGGGTGAAAGTACTCACCAAGACAGTTAGGAATTAAGAAAGGGAAATTTATTAAAAGGAAGACACATTGTAAGGAGCAGCAGAGAATGTTTGCTGTTTGCTAACTGCTATCTGCTATCTGCAGAGAGGCAGGGATTAGAAGAATGTTTTTATAAGAGGGGTATGAGGGCTTAGTGGGCCGGAGAACTATCTTTGGGGGCAGTCTGCAAAAGAAAATTTCCAGAGGTCTGTGAAGTGGCTGATTGTGGTATCTTGTTTCTTTAAGATAAGTTTAGTTAACAGCAATAGAAAACTAGTGACAAATGGTTAACTATTTTTTGTTTACTGCAAATGTTTTACAGTAAATTACTAACTAGCTTTTACAGCTTTTGCTGTTATCAGTAAGTTTCTTTGTAACATTTGTAAAATCTTATCCTGAGATTTCCTCCCTCAATTTACCCAATTGCTGCTGGCCTAATAAAGCTTCATACTTCTCCACACCTTGGGCTTTGGGACTTTGGTTTCTGACCTGGCGCCCTTCTGTCTAGAATTCTAGAGACTATCATTTGGCTTGCACCTTGTCTGATCAAGGCCTAGGAAGGGCTAATCAGAGCTGGTACACTCACTCACTGCCAATTGTTTTTGGAAATGTAGTGACCAAGGTAAAATTTCCCCTTCGCCCCCTGAAGGCTCACTGAAAAATAATCTCTCAAAAGGCATATTAGTTGGAGAAATGGCATACAAATGTATTTAATGTGAATACTCAAGTGCCTTCAGAATGGAGACCCAAAGACACAGGAGAAACCGTCTATTTTTATGTCTTTTTTTATGGACAGTGATATAGACATCTGATTGGTCAAAAAGGCTGTGATCTAATGCTGATAGACTGAGCGGGGAAACCCAACAAGACCTGTCTGTCTGTTTGGATTCTTCTTGGCCTCTCTAAGCATATATTTATTCCTTCTGGATATGAGACAGTATCCTCTCTGGATTGGGGGTCTTAGGACCTACAGTCAAACAAGGTGGGTCAGATATTTCTTTATGGTCAGTTTTACACAGAAAGGTGGAGGGAAGTTAGAATAATATGTATAGGTTTTATGACTGGCTTTGGGGAGAAGGGGTTCTGGTTTCTATGATCAGCCTTGAGGAAGAAGGATTCTAGTTTCTACGGTTAGCCTCAGAGGAGACAGAAGGTAGGAGAAAGTCAGGGAAAAATGTTTGCTCTGAGGCTGCTTTTGAGGCCTTCATTTTGGGATAGTGTCTTCTTAGTCCCAGCAAAAGGAATTTAATATATCAAAAATGGAAACCTATTGTTCCTGAAACTTTTTTCATGGTGGAATAGTGGGGCAGGGGATACCACAATGTTTTCAGGACTTATGGCTTTACATGTCTTAACCTTGCTCTGGGTCCCACAGGCAGTTAAAAGAATACCTTGGGTATTCTTTCTAGCAATAACGTTGCGGGGACTCCTAGTCAATACTTAGAATTTAAATACCTGCAGTCTGGCTTAAAACTCAGCCTTCCCTCCTTCCCTTTCTCAGGTCAGAGTCCAGGCTCAGCCATTGGCAGTCTGGTCTTCCCACAAACAGGGCCTGGGTAGCCACTTCCTTTTAGCTGCACAGAAGGTGCAGAGGCAACCAGGACCAGCCAGGCGCTCTTGGGACTCCATTCACAGCCTCTGGTTTAGAAACCCCAGGCTACAACCAGGCTGGCCCAAGAGAAAATCACCCAACAGACCTCTCTTCCCTCCTTTCCTCCCACCTCTGGATCAGCTATCTAGTCTCCAGAAAAGCTCTTTTCTGCCCCCACCTGGCCCTTGGTGGTCACTGCACCACCCCGTCTTCCCACCTTCTTCCCTCTTTTACCTTCCTCAGCGTCTTTGGCTCTGCCTGCAGCCCCTGAGTCCCAGAAAAATCCTTCTTGCTCTTTCCTCCAAGCTCCCAGATTCTCAAGACCTTCACTCTGTTGCTCAGTTTCTGACTCCCTTTGGCTAAGCCCTTCTGTGGCTAATGTCTGGACATTTCAAGACCTGAGCTGTCCAACACAGTAGCCACACTTGTGGCTAGTATGGAAACAAATTAAGCTATTTTATTAATATACTTCTCATCAACAGGGGTACTTGCATAATCAACGTTTGTATACCTAACCCTGAATTGTATCCCATATCTTTATAATAAAAAATTAAATTTAAAGATTTTTATTAATATTGTTATATTGGTTACATGAATGGAAAAATATTTTTGATATATTGGGTTAAATAAAGCATTATTAAAATTAATTTCACCTAGTAAGTTGTGGCAGTGTGTACCTATAGTCCCAGCTACTTAAGAGGCTGAGGCAAGAGGATCACTTGAGCCCAGGAGTTCAAGACCCACCTGGGCAACATAACAATACATGTTCTTTTTAAAAAAAAAAAATTAATTTTATCTGTTTTTTTTGTTGTTTGCTTTGTTTTGTTTTACTTTTTAAAATGTGAGGTCAGATGCCATGGCTCACACCTGTAATCTTGTACTTTGAGAGGCCAAGGCGGGAGGATTGCTTGAGCCCGGAACTTTGAGACCAACCTGGGCAACATAGCAAGACTTTATCTCTAACAATAATCTTAAAAAATTAGCCAGGCATGTGGACATGCACCTGTAGCCCTAGCTATTCAGGAGGCTGAGGCAGGAGGATCACCTGAGCCCAGGAGGTTGAGGTTACAGTGAGTCGTGACTGTGTCACTGCACTCCAGCCTGGGCAACAGAGTGAGACCCAGCCTCAAAAAATAAACTAAAATGTGGCTACTAGAAAGTTTAAAATATGGATGTGGTTCTCATTATATCTGTGTTGGACAATGCTGGTCTAGGCCTCTTCTGGTCGACAGGAGAATCCTGTGACTGAATCCTTTCACTGTGACTTCCACATATGCCTTTATCTTCCCTGTCTTTCCCAAAGGTTCTAAAGTGGGCAGCAGCTCTCCCTGCTAATCCCTAGAAACTGGCCTCGCTACTCTGGATCAGGGGCCATCATGAGAGGAGACCCAGATGTGTGCCTTAAACCGAGAACACAGACTAGGCAGGGTGACATTGAGGTTTCGGTCACCCATATTCCTCAATGAATTGTGTAATAATGGGAGCCACAGACACAGGGTCTGTGAGATCCCCAGCAGGGCCAAGTGAGTCTACTATGTCAGAATTCCTGCCTACCTCAGCAATGTAAGAAGTAGATGCAGTAAAAGGCACAAGATACTTAGTGTGGTATTCAAAGAGTGCTTTTTCTTTTTCTGACATATTGGGATCAAAAGTCTGTCTTTCTGAAGCTGGTTCATTTCATGCTTTGTAGTTGTCTGGATTTACTCACTTTCTCAGTAAAGAGGCTTTTGAAAATTCAAGTGGAGGGTTCTGACCCTCTAGTCCTCGCCACATAAAATACCTTTGGGGGATAGAAGAGAGCCATGGCAGGAGTGTACCCTGGGATGCTGGGACGGAAGACATTCCTGACCAGGTGCCCAGGAAACCGGGCCGGAATGTCACAGCTCTGCAGAGTAACCAGCAGTGGGGAGGTCAGGAATGGGTTGACCCAGCATCCAGGGAGTCCTGCCTGGGCAGGACTCAGCCCTTTCCATGATGAGCCGGAAATGGCCAGCTGTGGCATTTGAGGCTGTGGCATTTGAGGCTGTGGCATTTGAGGCTGTGGCCACAGCTGGCCCCCTCAGAGTACAGTGTCCAAGAATGTGGGTGTGCTCCCTGCTGGGACTCAAGTTTACAAACAGGATGTCAACAAGCTGTAGGAAGGGCTGGGTCCTGGCTGGTGGAGGAAGTCCCAAGATTCCAGGTGTATTCCCATCCCCACTGGAGCCGGACAGCCAAGGAGGCGGCAGACAAAGTCCCAAAACCCAGCCCAGAAAGTCCAGAGAGGATCCCTGCCTCCAAGTGGGCTTTGTCAGCAAGAGCAGGGTCCCAGGCCTGTACACCCAGCACTTGTGAAAGGGATGGGGCGGAGGCATCAGGCTGCTGCTGGTCCTTGTTTATGTTTCAAGGAGTTTGTTTATCATGGAAAAGAAACAACCGGGGTTTAGAAAAAGGACGTTAAGTGGGTTTTGGAGATTGAGAGTCTCCAAATTTTTTTTTTTTTTTTTTAGTTGGAGTCTCACTCTGGCCGCTCCTGGCCACCGCAGCCTCGACCTGCTGGGCTCCAGCGATCCTTCCGCCTCAGCCTTCCGAGTAGCCGGAATTACAGGCATGCGCTACCACACCCAGTTGATTTTTTTGATTTATTGTAGAGATGAGGTCTCGCTGCCCAGGCGGGTCTCAAACCTGCGGGCTCAGTCAATCCACTCACCTCAACCTCCCAAAGGCGCAGGATTACAGGCTGAGCCACCGAGCCTGGCTTTCCAAATTTTTTTATTAAAAAATTGAAAACTGTGGTTGGCTTATTACAAACTTCAAGGAGAAAAAAATCTATTTTACTGTTCTGTTTATAAAAGTGATATATATTATTGTGTACATTTTGAAAGACACCAAAAAAGCAGAAAGAAAAGAAAATCACCCCTGACCACATGAGCCAGGGATAGCCAATTTGTTGACATTTTGGTGTATTTCTTTCTGATCTTCTTTTTATACATAGTTTTGGAGTTTGTTTTTTCTCCATAGTTTGGGTTATTCTCCATATGCAATTTTGTGGGCATCTTCCCATGTTATTGCAAGACCTCCATCACCGTCATTTTCAATGGCAGTCTGACAATGCTTAGCCATTCTCCCATTGTTAGATGTTTGAGTTGGTCCTAATTTTCCTGTTTGGTAAATGACACGGTGATGGGGGAAAAAAGTGTGTCATCTATCTCTGCAGAAGAAAATAGGGAAACAAAGGGTTTGGGGTCACAGTGAGGATAAAAATTCAGGAAGGGGACCCGGTGTAGTGGCTCAAGCCTGTAATCCCAGCACTTTGGGAGGCCGAGGCAGGACGCTTGCTTGAGTCTAGAAGTTTGAGACCTGCCTGGGCAACAGAGCAAGAACTTGTCTCTGCAAAAAATTTAAAAACTAGCCAGGCATGGTGGTGTGTATGTCCATAGTCCAAGCAACTCAGGAGGCTGAGACAGAAGGATTACCTGAACCCAGGAGGCCGAGGCTGTGGTGAGTTGTGACCATGCCACTGACTCCAGCCTGGGCGGCAGAGTGAGACCCTCAACTCGAAAAAAAAAAAAAAAAATTCAGGAAGGGAGAATCCCAGGGGTTGATGTTGGTCTGCCATCTTTTTGGGTAGGGTTTTTGCAGTGTGGTTTCTGGAAACAGACCCAGAGCCAAAGAGTGACTGTTGTAAGAGGCAGATTTCCTGAAAAAGAGTTCTCTAACTACAGGAGTGGGTGTGATGGGCTGTCCTGAAGTGGTGCATTCCCTGTCCCAGTATTCCAAGAGAGATCCCATAGAGGGAATACATTCCTGCACTAGTAGATTACTACATTTAGGTCAAATTGGATTACTTTGTAAATCCATCTCATTTCAGGCTCTGGAACTGCCTGAAGCCATCACAACCCCCCCAGCTATTGGGGAACTTCAGCTAATGAGGATTAGCGGTCAAAGGGAGATTGCCAAAAAGGAAGACAGAAGCTTGAACTTGGGTCCAAAAGATGTGATGGGTTCTAATCCTTCTCTTTATTTTGGGCAAGTCATATTTAATCTTTTCGCGTCTCAATTTTCTTGTTTGTAAAATGTACATAACAATACTTGCCCTGCCCAACTTACGGGCATCCTGGGAGGAGATATAAGGTCCTATACATATAGCCTGTGACCTTCCATACATAAAAGGTGTTATTATTAATAACAATGACAGCAGTTGTGGGAACAAGGACAAACCAGTGAGGATGACTACACATGTCACCCTGCTGCTCTGGACTGCACTCCTTGGCCTCGACACTTCTTCTGACTGTCCCCCTAGTAGTCCCATTCTCATTCTTGCAGATCGATGCTGCCTCGCTGATTGCTGCCTCCGTGATGGCCGCCCCTTGTGCTTTGGCCCTCTCTAAGCTGGTCTACCCAGAGGTGGAAGAGTCCAAAGTCAAGAGTGAGGAAGGAGTGAAACTGTCCTATGGGTGAGCACAGCAGGAGGGTCTACAGAGAGGGAAGGCCCTCTTCTCTCTGCTAAACCTGGTCTTTGACCAGCCCGGGCACCCTCTTCCATTTCACTACCCTAATTGTGGCTTCACTTGCTGTCTTAGTCCATTTTCTGTTGCTTATAACAGAATACCTGAAGCTGGATAATTTATAAAGAAAAGGAACTTACTTTTAGTTATGAAGGCTGATAAGTCCAAGGCCGAGAAGCCACATCTGGTGGAGAGTTTTCTTGCTGGTGGGAACGCTCTTTCTCTGTACCTCTCCCAAGGCAGCGCAGGGTATCACAAGGGAGGAGGCTGAGCATGCTACGTGCTGGCTTGGATCTGTCTTCCTCTTCTTATAAAGCAAACAACTCCACTCTCATGATAACCCATTCATCCATTAGTCCATGAGTGGATCAATCCACCTCAAGACCCAATCACTTCTTAAAGACCCCACTTCTCAGTACTGCTGCATTGGGGATTAAGTATCAACATGAGTTTCAGAGAAGACAATCAGACACAGCACTTTCAAAGACGCAGACACCATTTCTCCCATCTTAATTTCCAGTCTCTGACCATCAGGAAACAGTGGACTGATCCAGGCTTGGGAGCATTTTAGGAGTATGGCCTGGTGTGTGCGTATGTTGAGAGGGTATTAAAGGGCCCATGCCACCTTCTCTACATGCTGGAGCCCTGACCACCAAGTTGCCAACCACATATGAATGTGTTGAACTCTGTCCTTGATTTCACTCACTTTCTGGCATCTCTTCATCACAGTCTAAACAGCTGTCCTGTAACATTCAACCCTTTTAAAATGTTGAAAAGTTACCACTGCCAGGTGCAGTGGCTCAAGCCTGTAATCCCAGCACTTGGGAGGCTGAGGTGAGAGGATTACCTGAACTCAGGGGTTCGAGACCAGCCTGATCAACTTGGTGAAACCTCGTCTCTATGATAAATCAAAAAATAAGCCAGGCGTGGTAGCGCCCACCTGTAGTTCCAGCTACCTGGAAAGCTGAAGCAGAAGGATTACCTGAGCCCAGTAGGTCGAGGCTGCAGTGGTCATGAGTGTGCCATTGCACTCCAGCCTGGGCAACAGTGAGACTCCAATTCAAACAAAATAAAAGAAAGAAAGGTGCCACTTTGGGTAAATGTGCTTGGGGACACAATAGGCAAACCTGACCTCACAACTTTGGGAAGCGCTAGGCCAGCACTGTCCCATGGAGGTAGAACGTGAGCTACATATAGCATTTTAAATTTTCCAGTAGCCATCTTTTACAAAGTAAAAAGAGACCAGGCACAGCAGCTCATGCCTGTAATCCTAGCACTTTTGGGAGGCCAAGATGAGAGGATTGCCTGAGCCCAGGAGTTCCAGACCAGCCTGGGCAACATGGCGAGACCTTGTCTCTACAAAAAAATTAAAAAATTAGCTGGGCGAAGTGGCGCACACCTGTAGTTTCAGCTACTTGGCAGGTGGAAGGATTGCCTGAGCTCAGCAGGTCAAGGCTGCTGCAGCCGTGAGCTTGCCACTGCACTGCAGCCTGGGTGACAGAGTAAGACTCCAACTCAAATAAATAAATAAAATAATAAATAGTAAAAAGAAGCCAGGCTCGGTGGCTCAGCCTGTCATCCTGTGCATTGGGAGGCTGAGGTGAGTGGATTGCCTGAGCCCGTGGGTTCGAGACCCGCCTGGGCAACTTGGCGAGACTTCATCTCTACAATAAATAAAAAAATGAGCCAGACGTGGTAGCGCGCACCTGCCACTCCAGCTACTTGGAAGGCTGAGGCGGAAGGATCGCCGGAGCCCAGCAGGTCGAGGCTGCAGTGGCCGGGAGCAGCCACTACACTCCAGTCTGGGCGACAGAGTGAGACTCCAACTCAAAATAATAATAATAATAATAAGCTGGGCTCGGTGGCTCAACTTGTAATCCCAGCGCTTTGGGAGGCTGAGGTGAGTGGATTACCTGAGTCCACGGGTTCGAGACCCGCCTGGGCAACTTGGCGAGACCTCATCTCTACAATAAATCAAAAAATTAGCTGGGCATGGTAGCATGCGCCTGTAGTTCCAGCTACTTGGAAGGCTGAGGCAGAAGGATCACCAGAGCCCAACAGGTCAAGGCTGCGGTGGCCGGAAGCAGCCACTGCACTCCAGTCTGGGTGACAGAGTGAGACTCCAACTCAAAAACAAACAAACAAAAAAATAGTAAAAAGAAATGAGTGATTTTAATAAAATATATTACTTAACCCAATCTACCCAAACTAGTGTCATTTTGACATAAAATTACTCTGTTTCAATCAATATGAACCATTGAAATATTTTGCTTTTTTTGGTACTAAATCTGGTGTGTATTCTGCACTTACATACAGCACAACTCAATTTGGTCCAGCATCCTTTCAAGTGATCAAAAGTAGCATGTAGCTAATGGCTTCCATCTTGGACTATTAGGTTTCCATGTTAGAAACCTGGGTCTTATCCCAGTGCTTTGACCAGTCTGTTTTTCTCTCTGGGTCTCCGGGGAAACAAGGATCCTCTGGCTCTGAAATGTTCTGTTCAAGGTTCTACCTAAAGCCCATAGGATAGGGACCCTTGCTATTTGTGGGGTAAGGCCAATAATAATCACTCTTGATCCCAACAACAGAGATGCTCAGAACCTCGTAGAAGCAGCCAGCAGTGGGGCCGCCATCTCAGTGAAGGTGGTGGCCAACATCGCTGCCAACCTGATTGCATTCCTGGCTGTGCTGGAGTTCATCAACGCTACTCTCTCCTGGCTGGGAGCCATGGTGAACATTGAAGGGCTCAGCTTCCAGGTGTGGTTCTGGCCACCCGATTCAGCCTGTGGAGGGGTGGCCTGGATGGGCAGGGGGTGGGAATTGGCCAGTGGCCCAGGCCCAGCCCTCGGTGCCAGCCACACCTCTCACCCTTGTGCCCTTAGCTCATCTGCTCCTACATCCTGCGGCCTGTGGCCTTCTTGATGGGCGTGGCTTGGGAGGACTGCCCAGTGGTGGCTGAGTTGCTCGGGATCAAGATGTTTCTGAACGAGTTTGTGGCCTACCAGAAACTCTCCACGTACAAGCACAGCCGCCTGGCCGGAGCTGAGGAGTGGGTTGGCACCAAGAAGCAGTGGATCTCTGTGAGTGTCCCAGTCCCCTCCCTACAGCAGGGTGGTGAGAAAACTGCCCCCCGGGGCCCCAGCAGCTCCTCTCCCGGCTCCCAGGCCTAGGGCCTGGCTGAGACACACTGAGTTGGCGCTAGACCTCGCACCTCCTACTGTCCTGGGAGGCAGGATAGCTTCAGGCATTGTTGCCATCTTTCTAGAGGAGAAAGAGCATTGTTTGAGATACCTGAGACAAAGCTCTAGATGGGACAACTTTCGCTGTGGCCAGCTGCACCTTGCCTCTTCCATCCAGTCTGGGTGACAGAGTGAGACTCCAACTCAAAAAAAAAAAAGAAAGAAAAGAAAACAGGATATAACCGGGTTCACGCCTGTAATCCCAGTACTTTAGGAGGCCGAGGCGAGAGGATGGTCTGAGCCCAGGAGTTCAAGACCAGCCTAGGCAACTAGGTGAGACCTTGTCTCGACAATAAATCAAAAAATTAGCCAGGTGTGGTGGTGTGTGGAACTTCCAAGTAGTTCCAGCTACTTGGAAGGCTGAGGTGGAAGGATCACCTGAGCCCAGCAGGTTGAGGCTGCAGTGGCCATGAGCGTGCCACTGCACTTCAGACTAGGTGACAGAGTGAGACTCTAAATCAAAAAATAAATAAATAAATAAAAGAAAACAGGATGTAATACCTTCCATGTCTACCCCAAAGGAATCTATGTGAGCACCCAGTCAGCTGGGAGAGTGAGTGAGATAGTGAGACCTTGCATCACTTTTGCCATTCGTATATTGGATTCAGCTCAGGGGTTGACGCTTTCTGTTAACATTTATTTTTTAAAATAATTTTTTGAAATTTTATTTTAGAAGTCTATAAAATTAATCTAATATAATACAAGCTCTAGTAATATTATTTTTTTTTTTATTTTTTAGAAAGTGTCTTGCTGTGCCATCCACGCTAGGGTATAGTGGCACAATCATAGCTTGCTGTAGCCTTGAACTCCTGTGCTCAAGTTATCCTCCCACCTCAATCTCTTGAGTAGCTGAGACTATAGCCATGCGCCACCATGCCTGGCTAATTTTTATTCTTTTTAGAGATGGAGTGTCACTATGTTGCCCAGACTGATCTTGAACTCCTAGTCCCAAGCGATCCTCCTGACTCGGCCTCCCAAAGTGTTGGGACTACAGACATGAGCCACCATACCTGGCCTCTAGTAACATTATTGAGAAGAAAAAACTGCCGGGCTTGGTGGCTCAGCCGTAATCTCGTGGTTTGGGAGGCTGAGGTGAGTAGATTGCCTGAGCCCGCGGGTTCGAGACCTGCCTGGGCAACTTGGTGGGACCTCATCTCTACAA